CCGTCTGCACTGCGCAGAATGCTACGCAAATTGTTGAGCCGCTCGCCACGCGGTTCCATGTTCCAAGTCAAACACTCGTTTTGTCATGCAAAGCACCAGCCTCGCTGGCAGGAAGCCAATAGCCTGCGTCGCTCCAAAAGCAATATTACTGCATCGCGGCAAGCAATATCGCACTCTGTTTGGGCCGGTAAAGCTGTTAAGCCGAACTTTGTAGCCGAACATGTCACGGTACGCGATGTCATACACGGTCCGCGCTATTTGGGCGCAATGTGACCCTTGATGTCGAGGTGCCCTAAAATCCCAAATCATCATCACCAGCCAGCTACTTAGCCGAACTTGCCCCGGCCGTGTGATGGGCTGCGTCCGTCCCCTGGACGCGTCCGGCGCCGGCCAGTCACCGCCTGTGCGGGGAGCTGCGTGCCGTGTGTGGCGGCTGGCGCTCCGGCCCGCTGGACCTCCGTGCCACCCTCCATGCTGTGGCCGGCTGCCATCGGTCGCAGCAGCGGCCGTCCTCTCTCGCGGGACGGCGATCCCGCTCGTGCGACCGCAGGCGAGCAAAATGCGGCCGGATCAGCAGCATCGGAGCCGGCGGCGGCGGCGGCGGCGGCGGCGGCCGCGGCTGCGGCCGGGGGACGCTGTTTGTTGGCGGGCCGCCGTCTGGCCCGATTGTCTGGAGCGGTGCTGTCGTTTCTCCGCGTACTCGTCATGTGTTTGGATGCGCGGGCCGCGCTGCAACGCCGCGTTACGGATCACTTGCCGGCCACGTCATACGGAATGACACAATACCCTGTTTATGAAATGTAATGGTGCCCCGTAATCGGTGAGCACGTCAGTCGGAATCGTGAATGTCCATTTTTAATTAGGCCGTCAGCCGTAATGAGGGGCGCCGAGCCCTGTGCGGCCCCGGTGGCCCGTGCCGCGCCTCCCCCGTCGGGGAAGCGGGCTGGAGCGTGGAGCCGACCGGCCAGCTGTGGAGAATGGAATCGGGGCGGAGGCGGCGGCGGCGGCGGCCGCTTCCGTCAGTGGCCGTCAGCGGCGCGGCCTCTCCTTCAGCGGCACCGCCTTCCGAATACAGCCCCGTGGTGGTGGCTCCGCACAGGTGCGAAAGAAGTGCTCGTGGCTACATGTCAGCTCGGCCGCGAAGAGCGATGGCTGGCTGGCTGCGCTGTTTCTACGCTGGTGTGTCGCGCCCGGCCCTCCATTGCTGTCGGCGCCAGGTGACGCGCGAAGGGCGTGAGCAGCGCGGCGGGCTGTTTGTCGCCGCCACGTCGCCGGGTTCCAGGTGGCACTGACCGGAGCGCACTGATGAATGACGTCCGCCCGGGCCGCCTCCCTGGGCCGCCGAGTGCGCCGGTATGCGGACAACACGCCGCGGTCGGCGGCGCCGGAATGTCGACCGCACGCTGATGAGGAGTAATGACGGGCGAACGGCTGCTGGACGGCCACGGCGCGCCGGCTGCGGCTGCAGGCCGGTCTGCACCGCACCCTGCCTGCCGACGTGGCCGATCGGTCGGCGGCGGTGGCGGCGGTCGGGAGACGGTGGCGCCTCGCCGCGGCGGCGGCGCGTGCCGGCTGTAACTCACGCGGCGCTTTCCGACGGCCTCCCGCGGCCGCCGCGCCGTATATGGGCAGAGGCGCAGGGGCGCCGCTCCGGCTGGGTCATTCGAGGTCAGGCGGGCTCCGCGTCACGGGTGGAGACGGTTTGCCTGTCCCTGGTCGGCCGTCACCATTGTCGATTTTTCTCTGCTTTTTCTAATCGGTCCCAACCGATCTCTTGCCTTTAAACGGAAAAGTAGTGATGCGCGCGTCGCATTCACGCTGGGCATGAAGATGGATGCCACCGTCGGGGAAAGCTAGCCGACGGTGCCAGGTTATCCGGGGCGGAGCGGCACGTCGCTCGGGTCCTCTCCGAGTGGAGCGGCAGTTCGCTCCAGCCTGCGGAGCACAACAGTCTGTCTTCAGTCCACCGAGGGGAAACGCGTCCTGCCACCGGCCGCAGTGGCAGCGGCCGTTCCGCTCCGTCCCCAGCTGGACAGCCGGCCGGCGGCCGCCGGGTCGGCCGGCCGTTAATTGGCCGGTAATTGTTTGATCGGGCGGCGGTGCGTGCTCCGATCGCGGGGCGTCCTGCCGGCGGCGGCGGCGACCGCTCCCACGCTGTCACCGGCCGCCTGGCGCCCCGGCCGGTCCGCCGCCGCCGCCGCCCGCCGGCCGGCCGGCGCTACCCGGCGGCGGCGGCAGCGGCGGCGCGCCGCGGCCACCGGAGCGTGCAGCTGGCGGCGCCGGCCGGCCGGCCAGGTGCGCCCGGCCGCCGCGCCCGCGCCTCGCCCGCGCTTGGCGGTAGCGCGGCGGGGCGGCTCTTGGCGCTGCCCGTCTGGGGCGTCGGGTAGGCGGTAGTGGTTGAGTATCTTGCGAATAGAGAGCGGCTCAAGCCTCCTCTGGTCGGTGTGCAGTTTGTCCTGATCTCGGCGGGTAGTCGGTTCCGTATTGGACGGAGCCGGTTTAAATCCCGGAGGCCCAGTTTCCGGTCTTAGCACCAGGAGTGCTGTCTGACGCACGGCTGGCCTTGTGTACAGACTGGCAGCGGGGAAAGGGGCGCCGCGCTGAGATTGGGCCGTAGCAGACCACTTGACCCACATCGGGGCCGCTGTGCTGTGCAGGGATCGAACTGTGGCTGCTCTGTCCCTACTTCAAGATGGCTGGCGTGGGTGACGGCTAGCGAGAGACCTGCTCTCTTTTGTTTAACTTTGTGGGACGCGACGCTCCGAGGATGGTGCAGCTTGCATGCAATTGCATTTCGCCCAGGTCAGGATCCACCGTTCACTAACGGTAGGGGTGCGCCCGACTTCGTCGTTCATCACGCCGTGCCTGAGCCCCGAGTTGGCGTTAGGTTCGCCGCGCGGCGCCGGCGCGCTCCTAAGCTGTGTCGCCACCGCTCCCCGGGCCGCTTCCCCGGCGCCGGGCCGGGCGGGGCCCATCCTCTGCCGGCCGCTCAGCAGCCTGGCGGAGCGGAAAGGCAAACAGCCGGGCGCTGGCGCCGGCGCCGACAGCGCAGAACGGCCCTCGGCTGGGCGGGCCGGCCGAGCGGCCGCCAGGGCGGCGCACGCCCGCCAGGCTGGTGTGGACGGGGAGGATGGCACCGCGTGGCTGGCAGCGTGAACGACGAGGGCGCGTGCTTCATGCTAGAGAGCCTGCCGTGGAGAGGGAGTTGCGGTGTCCCGTCCGGCTTGGTTTGGTGCTGGGCTGGCTCCGCGTGGCCGTGGTGAGCGCTGAATCTGATCGGTTGGTTTGGTCTGGTACTGCTGGTTGGTTGGTTCAGTCCGGTGCTGCTGGTCGACTCGTTTGGGCTGATGCTGCTGGTGGGCTGGTTCGGGTATAGTGCTGCTAGTTGGACGACCGGCCCGGACTTGCGCTGCTCTTCGGTTAAACAGGGTCGACTTATGCTCGTATTCAAAGTACGTGGAAGTTGATCATGACTGGCTGCATCAGACCCTTTGTCTTCAGCTCCAACTTTTAAGGTTGTCGACTTGTAATGCACACGCTCCCTAGTTTTAATTGGATTCGACTTCTTTCCGACTCCGTCGGGTCCTGCCTGACATTGGATTTTAACTGACACAGAATCAGAGTCGGCGGAAGCTGGAGCCGGGGCTGGAGCCGGAGCCGGACGCCCGGACGGCCCCTGCTTGTGTAACCGGCACGCGGACTGTGGCGTGTCCGTGGCCTGGTGCCGGACTAGTTGGCCCCGTCAGACTTGTCACTTTTTGTCGAGGCTTTTTATTATCTTTTTACGCGCCCAGACACTCTGTATCGGGTCAATGGATGGCGGGAAGGCGAAGAAAACAAATTGGACCCGGTTATGATTTGTACCGCGGGCCGCCGTGCTGGTCAGCGGTACGACTTGAGAGTCCACCGTCGCTTCACAACCAGGGGCCCGTCGCGCAGTCTCGTGGCTGGTTATCAGTGCCGCGCCTGGTGGTGTGTTGTCTTGGGCTGGTGGTGAAAGATGCCGAACGGACACGGGCACGTGCAATGATTCCGTTGACTGCGCGCAATAATTGATGGAGAGACGCCAGGTGCGGTTTTGTCTTTGTTCAGAACAGTCCCATTGTTCGCCCTTGCCGCCGTATCCGTCATTCCTGCATACAGTCCCTGCCCCCCCCCCCCCCCCCCCCGCCCCCACAGCGTGGACTGGTTGGGGCGAACTAAGTCGGGCACCTATGTGCGAGCCGCTGCCGACGACGCCATTTTGGCGACCGAAGTCAGTCGTGTGTCGGAACTTGTGCATTTTTAGGGGACCAGCTGCATCACCCAAACTGTCGACGCTTTACATCAATGAAAATGCTTGTTCAAGCGTCGTTTTGTTGATGCTGCTGCTGTGCGCGGCTGCGCTTTGCTCCGATGTCGGGCACCGACCCGTCACCATCTCGCTGGTCGTCCGCCTCCTCTTTTGAAGCCCGTGAGCTCAGCCTCCACGCCGGGCTGCCGCCGCGGCCGTGGGGCGCTCACCGTCACGCGGCTGGCGGGGGCAGCGGGCGCTGGATGTGCGCGGGATTACTGCTGCTCAGGCTCGCCGCCGCCGGCCTCTGGACCTCTGAGTCGAGCGGGCCGCTGAAGGCGGCGGCAGGGCGGCACGGTGTGCTTCGCCGCTCCGCTTGGGGGAGTGTGGATCGCCTTGTTGTTGCTATGGATACCGCTGTGTTTGCCGAAGTCGTGCCATTGCGTTTGTGGCATTGGCCGCTGCTCGGTGCCCGACCGACCGGCTGGTCTTCTGTTGTGTCCACGCCGTTGACGATGGCCCTCATCCGTACCGTGTGATTGGCGGGAGGCCCACCATGATCCGCGGCTCATCCTCGGCTCCGAACGGGACCAGTGTTACAATTGTCGTGACACGCTGTGTCAGTGGTGGAGCGTGAGCGGTTGGGCCGAGGCCGCGGGGAGCACCGCCGCTTCCTGCGCCGTCGGCCTGCGGCCGCTGACCGGCGTCCGCCTCCTCCCTGTTGCAGTGTACAGCGTGCTTTCGGAGATCGACGGTCTGCCCGAGGCCGACAGTGACGTGGTCGAGGACGAGGACTCGAGCAGCGAGGACGACCTCCAGTGGAGCTACGTCGACACCAAGCGCGAGGTGCCGCGCGTCAAGCAGGTCAGCACCGCGCGGTGGGGCCGGGCGGCGGGGGCAGAGGAGGGCAGGCTTGAGGCTCAGAGCGGGTGACTTACGCGCGGGGAGGGTTCAGTGAACTCGGGACGAGAGGATCGCGGGGTTTTGGAGGTAGGCTTCTGGGAACAGTGCTCTAATGATGGCTCGATGTGCTTTTTGGTAATGCGACGTGGCGGATTGGTGATAGGTGTGTATTAACGTTGGATATACGGCACCGCTTAATCCGTTCAAATTGGTCTCGTCAGTGTGGCGAAGCGAGGAAGGTGTAGCCAGCATGTTGCTGCACTTGACCAGGGTGTGCGGTAAACATCGGTGAAGGCGTTTGTTCGAGTACGTTTTTTGGGTCTTCACACAGCATCTTTGTGTTGTTTGGGACTCCCGGTTTCGGCTTATAATACCTATATTGCCACCACCGCTTCTCGGGTAAAAGCGTTTTGTTCCTCGACGGGAATGATCCTGACATAGCCAAGGTGAGCAGGAGAGAAAAGGCAACCGAGCCCGAGGCTGCTGTTCGGCGAGACTTGTTAAGACGAGACGAGACTTGTGACGAGGTGGCGAGATTTGTTCTGAGTCCCGTGGTACATGGCGGGAGCCCCAAATACGGTCTGTCTGTTTCACTCATTATTCACCTTGGCTACATGTTTTGTTTACATCCGTTCCGTGGCGAAGCCGTATCACGCGACGACCGAAAAACAGCGTGTTTGCTCCGGCACGCGAGCACGGCACTATGCCGTCAAACTGACGCCGTCTCCTCGCTGGCACGGGAACACGAGCTCCGCCAAGACGGCCGGCCGTCAGTGACCGGCTCACGGCGGAGCTTCTCACGCGCCCATGCCGTGTGATTCGTCGGGTCTCCCCCCCTCGCCCACCCTCCTGCACCCCCACTGGCCTGTCGCCTCCGGCCGTGCGAAGTTCCGTCTCTGTTACTGCCGCTCTAGTTGATTCGGCCGGAGCCGGCTGCCAGGCTAATGACGGCCGCTGGCCTGTCCGGTTTGACGACGGACGAGCGGTGGCCGGAAAACGACACGGCGCGGCGCCCGGGCGAGCGAGACATTGAGAGACGCCGGTTCCGCGTCCGGTCCCACTGCCACCGCGCAATTAATTGATGAGAGATAGTTAACCCCATCGTTCCGCGTCGAATGGCTGGCGCGCTCAACGTCCAGAAGACAAGCGTGTCCAGAAGACAACCGTGTCCAGAAGATAATCGTGCCCAGGAGACCATCGTGTCCAGGAGATTGACGCATCGTGTCCAGGAGTTTGGCGTGTCCAGAAGATAATCGTGCCCAGGAGACCATCGTGTCCAGGAGGCCATCGTGTCCAGGAGACAGGCGTGTCCAGAAGATAAGACGGACAGAGCCAGAAGCACCATTCGTTTGAGTGTCTTCGCGCCACCACCGTCACCGCCGGCTGCTGCAGTCGTTCCTGGCTGTCGTAGCTTGCCCCGGTACGTCCGGCACTTCCCGGTACCCCCAGTACTCCCGGTACGCCCGGTACGCCCGGGTATTCCCCGGTTCGCCCCGTTACGCCCAGGTCCGCGCTGCTTGGCCCCGCCGTGCGCGCTGTGGCGTGCAACGCTGTCACAGGTGACCAGTGTCTGAAACTTGAGTGTTTCTTAGTTTTTTAGCCCCAACACATTTCACTCTCCACAAATATACGCTGAAAAGAATGTAAAAGAGATGAAGGCAAGCTGTTCCTGAAACTTCGACGGCATCGCGTGCCACACTCACACAACTAAACGAGGGATACTGCTCGCGGGTTGCAGCCAAATCACAGCCCATATCACACACAATATTTCCTTTTAATGCACTCGGTGTCCAGGTCCGTTGCTTATCACCAGCACACGTTTAACCCACCTACCGTTCACCAACGACAGCGACACGCTCAGACCCCGGGCCCGAACCCGCACTCAAAACAACAGCGCCTCTTCACGGGCCAGGGGGAAGCGAGAGAACAGAAAACATCTCGTATACGTCACGATTCAACGTTTCTGGATTGCGCGTGTAAATCATTGTAACACAATACAAGTTGATGCGAAAGCACACATTGTCACGCCAGCCCATAAAGACACCGTGAATTGATCATATATTGGTGAAAAATATTTTTAATCCATTTTAGATAGTCCCCGTATTAATTTGCACTTGAAGCTATCAAAAATGTACATTGTGTAGAGGGTATAATGGTGACGTCAAACGCCACCCTAAACACTCGCTCCGGTACGCGGAAATCCGCGGCCCCGCGGGTCTCCGACTCTCGGGGAGGACTTGGCATTGGGGAGAAGGCATATTCTCCACCAAGAAATCCGAGCTGAAGACAAAAACACGTAAAAGGGGCATTCAATACAAGCATGTATGTTTTTTTTAGAATCTATCGATCTACATAGCGTCACCACAGAATTATGATCTGAGTATAAATCGAAAGCAGGGTTTGTTGTTCTCCCTTGAGCAAGACTTTTGCTTTTGTATTTTATGATGATCTACGTTTTTGAGATCTACCTTCTATGCGAGCTGGGTTTTGCCAGTGAATAATTTTTTTTAATCATTTAGGTCCTAAAAAGCAAGATAAATACCGATAAATGACTTGCAACGGCTCTGACGTTGAAAACTTCTACTCCGTGCACGTCATTTATGTAGCCTTCCGACGTCTTTGGAGGACCCGTGTGCGGAGCTGTGGCAGGGCGATTGGTTTGTAGCATAGATAAAGACAATATATAAATTCAGCTCAGTGTCATACTTTGAGAAAAGTATTGTATCCGACTAAACGTCGGTGAGTAAATGTAGCGATGCTTACTTTGTACGGCTGGCTTACTCTCTGAGGAGGAAACAACTCCTCCACTTCTGCTGTATTGACATCCGAGCCCCGATCACGCAGCAGCCTGACGTCCCAGATGGCGTAGTTTTGTACATAACTTTGTGGAGCGGGTGGGCTGGCAAATCTCCCAAATAAATAGTGCAAACCATGTCCTCCCTGATTTTGACCAAGTTTCTTCTCAAAGTTGGGGGAGAGGCTAGCACCCCATCCAACTAAATAGAAAACTACACCCCTGTTCCCAAGTTAAGTATATCTAGGATAGTTAAACCCTGGGCGGGTATCATAATGCTCGAGGATGTCTCCCTTGGCTGAGAAAGACTGTACTTTGGCTAGAACATGGCTGCACCAACATGCCCCAGGTGCTCCTATTTATATTAGTGTGGCTTGCATGGCATTTCAATCATACATTTGTCATAGTGTGCTTTGGGAATTGTTCAACAGGTGCACAACATTTTAAACATCGGTTTCTAAATGGCGAGCAGTCAACCTGTAATGATGGCAGCCACTGAGACCCGCTAGAGCATGGTGTTTACTGTCATCTGCTGCCAAAAAATGCCCTTATGTGCCAGCTGTGACTACAGTGCAAATTCGCTTGGGTTGTTTTGTTCTCAATACAAGCTACATTTTATCTTTTTTTTCTCCGCCAAGAGCCAAAACCAAATTTCGGATACCGCAGGTGACCGCCGTCAGGCATCTGAGCGGCGCCACCTGGGCTCGGAGTCACGACCCCGGCCTCTCCCCGAAACTCGCTGCCCTCCGGAGGGCGATCTCTCCAGGCGGATTCTCACTAGAGCTGCCTCATCTTTTCTGTGCCTTGACTGATCCAGTTCTCCCCCACTCTTTCGGTTACACTCCTCTTGCTCTTCTCTCTTTTCTCCCCTGCCACTTCTGTCTTCCTTTCCTCTGTTGTGCTCTTTTTCTTCCTCGTGTTCACTTCACACCCCATTCGTCTCCGATGCAGGCGCATCCCCTGCCATTAGCGTGTCCGTCTCTGCACCAGTCTATCGGAACGGGCTTGACGACGGCACCTGCCTCGGCACCATGTAGGCCCGCGCGTGGCATTCATCCTCGCCGGTTGAGGTGACCCTTTTTGCGAGAGGCGCCGCCTCACCGGGCTGCCGCGCGGCCCGGCCGCGTGTCGCGCCATCAGCCGCCATTGTGAGCGGCCGCCGGGACGGATCGCCTGTCCGGATGGTGACTGGGCGGCGCGAGGCCCCCCCCCCCCCCTCCCCCCCCCTGGCCGGAGTGAGTCTCCGTCTCCGCCGGCGCCGGCTGCTCGGCCCGCTCGTGTCGCCGGGACCGTGGTGTGTCGAGGAAGCCCGCCTGACTGCCGGCCGGGGCACGCTATCCGGCTGTTTGTCGCCGCGGCGACGGCGATTACCGGCGCGCCTGCCGCCGCTGTCCTGTTGTGGCGCGGCGGCCTGCTGGGCTGCGCCCCGGTACCAGTTGTGCTGCCCCGGCGGCGGGCCGGGCCGGGCGCGGCTGTCCGGCGGTCTTGGGCCAGCGCCCTGCCGGCACCGGCGCTAGACGTATCCGGGCCGGACGCGACCGGCGGCAGGTCGGCACGCCACGCCGCTGGCCGTGCCAAGGCGGCCGGGGCAGGCCCGGGGCGCTGCAGGGATGCCGCCGGGCACCGGCAGCTTGACTGCAGTCGCCGTCGGAGCTCTGCTGTCGGCACACACGGCGACCGCAGCTTACCGAGGCGCCAGGCGTGGCGTTGTCTGGGTAGGCCGGGTGTGGCTGAGTCTCGTTCGGCTCGCACGCGGACGGGCGGTGGGCATGGCGGCGTTTCCCGGCGTCTCCCGGCGGGCCGAGGGTGTCTCCTGGCATCTCCCGGCGGGTCGAGGGCGTCTCCCGGCGTCTGCCGGCGGGTCGAGGGTGTCTCCTGGCATCTCCCGGCGTCCCCCGACGGGCCGAGGGTGTCTCCTGGCATCTCCCGGCGGGCCGAGGGCGTCTCTCGGCGTCTGCCGGCGGGTCGAGGGCGTCTCCCGGCGTTCGGCGGTCTGCTGCCAGCAGACTCACAACTGGCGTGCGATTGGGCGCAGCCAGCGCTGCTCCCTCGGCCGCCAGCGGACTCATAACTGGCGTGCGGTTGGGCGCAGCCAGCGCTGCTCCCTCGGCCGCCGGCGGTGCGATTAGCCGTCGGCTTTTGATGTTGTGGTGAAGTTTGTGAGCGGTAGCCATGGCAACAGGGGGAGCCGGTTGTTTGGCGGACTGTTTTTGCACTGCTGTAACGCACTGACAGACAGTTCATTTGTTTTGCAGGATGAAGGTGATCAATGCGCAAAGTATATGTTAGCATTCCGAGCTTCGTATGAGTTATGGGAACCAGATGTCTTGAAAGTCCTTTTTGTTGTGCATCGATGCTCCTATGAAAGTTAATGTCTGCAAGGTAGCGATTTCGTTTATTTCGGCGTTGTTTTTTTCTTGCTTAAGGTTTGAAAGTAATGGGCTCATACGGTTGCAGATCTGGTCTGTTTCGTTGTAGCTGTACCCGTCTTTTCTAAATGCCGGTTGCCAGATTAATAGCGATAGCAAATTCGTACAGTTCCATCCTACATTTCACGGATCCACTTTCATCGTGGTGGCAGGTGATGACATATTTCTCACGGCTATGTCATTGTCTCGTTTGCCAGTCCATTCTAGTCTCACGGAGAGTTGTGTAATTATGGCGGCTATCATCATCTCGTGCGAGAACTAATTAGCTTCCGGACGCATTGTTGCCTCGTCGCGTGCACTGCCCATACGGTGGCACGAGGCGTGGAAAACGCCAGGCGCCCTCTCGTCGCAGGCCCGACTACAAAGGCCTCCACGCTGCAAACACTGCGTCGGCCACCCGAACAAAAGCACGGCGCATGTCTCTCTGGCCGGCTTTGCATTGTTCAAACAATTTCCTCACGACACGCCGAATGAAAGTAATCTGAAGATGTTACGATTGCCGCTACTGCGCGGGAACGCGCCAAGGACCGGCGGGCTTTAAAGTTCCCCGGTCGAAGACCACGCCGCCGAGTAATACCCCATCGGCCGCCGTCGGAAGTGGCGCGTTGCGTGCGGCCCTGCGTCACGGGCCGTGGGCCGCGCCATCATAACCGGGCTGGACTTTTTTACGTCGGTGCTGCGCTTCAGCATCGCCCCTAAGGCACGGCGCCTCGGTCGATGTACCCGCGTGCGGCGGGGCGGTTCGCTCGCAGCACAGTTCGGCTTTGTTGCTGTGGGACGCGCCTTGGCAGCGTGACTCCGCCGGGTCGATGCCAGGCGACTGTGCACGCGCCACCAGCTGGGCGCTGCGTGCCGTCGGGGGCGGGACAGGTGCAGCCGGCGCCTCCTGCCCCACCCCTCCTCCCAGCACCCTGTCCGCGGCGCACAATGTCGCGTGCGAGCGGGGAGACAGCCGGACAGTCCATGGAAGTCTGAAGGGCCTGGTCACTGGCGCTGGAAATGATGAGGTTTAGTGGGGACGGGCCAGTGGAGTCAAGTCCTTGTTCCTTGGGGTGACGTGCGTGACGTCCGATAAAATCTGTGGATTTTTGGTGTCCCAGTTGTTGTTTTCTCTCGGATGGCGGTATACTCAACGCTGGAATCCCACGGCTGTTTTGATGAACTTGGTAATTCCGCTCACCGAAACGCGGGCCGGCCATAATGTGCGCCTCCACGGCGTAGCGAACAGATGAAGTCAGATGAATTGAGCCGTCGGTATGTAACCGTCGACAGTCTGGCCGCGCCTGGGCCGACCCTGCTGCCAGCGGCGGCCCGCCCGTCTGGCCAGCCGGCCAGCCGGTCCGTCCGGGGAGGGCGGCCACTCCTGGGCGCTGGAGCGGCCCGGCGGCTCTACACGGCCCGGCACGGCCCACCCGCCTAGCCAGCCGGCCAGCCGGTCCGTCCGGGGAGGGCGGCCGCTCCTGGGTGCTGGAGCGGCCCGGCTGCTCGGCACAGCCCGGCACGGCCCGCCTGCCTAGCCAGCCGGCCAGCCGGTCCGTCCGGGGAGGGCGGCCGCTCCTGGGTGCTGGAGCGGCCCGGCGGCTCGGCACGGCCCGGCACGGCACGCCTGCCAGGGTAACGTGTGGAAATGCTACTGGGATGAGGGCTTTTCTCGAATTCTCGGGAGAGGAGGGGCCCCTGTTGGAGGTTTTTTTGGGGGGATAGTGCTTTGTAAAGCACTGTCTGGTTGTTCCTTGAGTTGAGGCTTTGTGTAGCGAATGGAAATTGAATGGACATTGAGGGGGGAACGTTCACTCCCTGGTTTAGGAGATAAGCCAATGGGGTGATGGGGAATATAAAGCATGTTTGTTTTTTGTTCATGTCTGTGTGCAGTAAGTATTGATTCATCGGTGGATGTTAATGTTCTTTCATTTGAGCCTTGCTCCTATTCCCGATGTACGGGCAGCTAGATCAGTGCGTCGGAACCCCATGTTCATGCTCTTTCGTGTCCCGCACCAGTGCGAACATTATCGGAAGCGCTGGGAATGCCGGCCGCGTGATTAGACTCTGTCTGACCAACCTCAGAGTGATGGAGAACGGCGGTAGTACTGTAGCATCACGAAATTCCCCAGATGCCAGAAGAACGCAGCTCAATAACGGTCATCTTTAAGGCCTTGGGAATGCTCTTGTCGGATACTGTAGTATACTAGGAAATACGCGAAAGCCAGTTCTCAGTGTGGACACGCCTGCACTATGCAAGCGCGCAGTTAGCGTGTTCGCTAGGTGTGAGCTGAAGCATTCAATCCTGCAGCGACTGAACGAGTCATACAGACTGGCGTGTAGCGCCTTTGTGCTGCGTGGTTTGCCTCGGGTCAACGGCCGCCAGGTGGCCCCCTTGGACCTGCTGCGCAGTGTTGGAATGCTCGGAGCACCTTGTTCGGAACAAGGGAGCCTCCTGTGCTGTCGGGTGACCGTGCGGTCGTCTGGCGGCCCGCCGTCAGATACACCCTAATCCTCAATCACCATTAAGGCCAGGCTGCTTGGTCGTGGACTCGCTCCGTGGATTGGTTTTGCCCAGCCATTTGTGTGCTGTATTGCGTTTGTGCCTGACCGTCGGTCTACCGAATGTGTCTGTGCTGGACCACCTGTTTCGCGTGCCTGTGTCTGTCTGCACACCTTTCCCGCTCCCGCCGTCCGTGTCTGACCGTGTCCGATACGCCGCGTGCCCGTTTTGGTTGAGACCTCAGCGTCTGCCGCAGCGCTGGCTGCGCGCCGTCTGCTACAGCAGCCTGTGTCCGCAGTGTCTGCGTCTACAGTGGCTCTGTCTGACCCCCGCCCCGTCGGCCCGTTGCAGAAGTCGGTGGTGTCGGCCGAGCAGGCGGACGTGGCTGAGATGAGCAGCCAGAACCCGTTCGCCGAGCTGGGCGGCGCAGCGGCGAACGGCGGCGCCGATCCCGGCTCGCCACTGAACCCGGCCGCAGCCGAGTTCACGCCCTCATGCCGCGACATGCTGAACCCGGCCGCCGCCGAGTTCGTGCCCGGCCAGGGCGTGCCGGCGCCGCCGCCCGGCCAGGCGCCTACGGCCGACTTATTCGCGCAGCTCAGCGACGGGATGTCGGCGTTGGCCCAGCAGGTGCGGGACGGCGTGGTGGCGGCGGCGGAGACGGAGGCGGAGGCGGGGGCGGAGGCGAAAGCGAGGGAGGTGACCGCGGCGGAGGCAGCGGAGGCGGAGCCGGCTGAGGGTGCTAAGCAGGAGGCCGGCCAAGGAGGTGATCTGTTCTCCCAGCTGACGGAGGGAATATCGTCCTTCGCGCAGCAGATGCAGGACGGCGCTGGGACGACGGCGGAGCCGGCCGATGGGACCAAGGAGGCGTCGGGCCAAGGAAGTGACCTGTTCTCCCAGTTGACACAGGGAATATCGTCGTTTGCGCAGCAGGTTCAGGAGAACACGGCTGATTCGGCCGACCCATCGGCGCCAGTGTCGGACTCCTCGAAGACGGCTGAAGAAGGCCAGGGAAATGATCTGTTTTCCCAATTGGCGCAGGGAATATCGTCGTTTGCGCAGCAGGTTCAGGAGAATGCGGCTGATTCGGCCGACCCATCCGCCGCACCACCATCAGACCCCTCCAAGAAGGCTGAAGAAGGCCAAGGGAATGATTTGCTCTCCCAGTTCACGCAGGGAATATCATCGTTTGCGCAGCAGATTCAAGAGAACGCGGCTGATTCGGCCGACCCATCTACGGCACCATCAGCGGACCCCTCGAAGACGGCTGAAGAAGGCCAAGGGAATGATTTGCTCTCCCAGTTCACGCAGGGAATATCATCGTTTGCGCAGCAGATTCAAGAGAACGCGGCTGATTCGGCCGACCCATCTACGGCACCATCTTCGGACCCTTCGAAAACGGCTGAAGAAGGCCAAGGGAATGATTTGCTCTCCCAGTTCACGCAGGGGATATCATCGTTTGCGCAGCAGATTCAAGAGAACGCGGCTGATTCGGCCGACCCATCTACGACACCATCCGCGGACCCCTCGAAGGCGGCTGAAGAAGGCCAAGGGAATGATTTGCTCTCCCAGTTCACGCAGGGAATATCGTCGTTTGCGCAGCAGATTCAAGAGGGCGTGGCTGCTTCGACGGAGCCCAACGATCCCGCCGCCGCCGCCGACGCCACAGCTTCGGAGCCTGCGCAGCAGGGGAACGAAGCCCAGGGCAACGACCTGCTCTCGCAGCTGAGCGACGGCGTGTCGTCATTCGCCCGACAGTTCCAGGAGAACATTGCGCCGGCGCCGTCGCCCGCCACGGGCGCCTCCACCACGCCGTCGGCCGACCCGGCGGCGGCGCCCCAGGGCTCGGACCTGTTCGCCCAGCTCAGCGAGGGGGTGTCGGCGATCGCCCACCAGATCGAGGAGAGCATCAACGCGGCGCCCGGCGAGACCGATGCGCCGGCCGCCGAGCCAGAGGCCGAGTCCACGGCCGGGCCTGGAGCCCAGGACGGAGCGACCGACAACGTCCAGGCCGCCATAGACAGCACGACGGATGCGCTGTTTTCGGCGTTCAGCGCTGCCGTCGAGAACTACGGCGCCGTGACGACGGCGGCGGCCGAAGACGCGGGCGACACGGCGGCGGCCGGCGCCGAGCAAGCGGAGCGGGCGGCCGCAGCCGCCGCTGACGCCGCGGGCGACGCCGCCGCAACGGCCGGCCAGCGCACCGCCGACGCGGCGGAGAAGCTGGAGGAGTCGCTGCAGGCGGCGACGGGGCAAGCAGACGAGGCGGCGGCTGAGGCGGGCGAGGCGGCCGACGCGCTGGCGGACGAGCTGGAGGCGACGCTGCAGACGGCCGCTGCGAAGACGGAGGAGACGGCGGATGCGGCGGCAGGTCAGCTGGAGTCGTTTCTGCAGGCTTCGGCCGTGGGGGCGGAACAGGCGGCGGAGGCGGTAGTGGAGAAGGCGGAGGACTCAGCCGAGCAGGCCACCTCCCTGTTAGAGGCGGCGGCGACGGCGGCCGGCGCCTCCCTAGCCACTGCCGCCGCCGCCGGCTCGGCCGCCGCGGCAGCTGCTGGCAAGCGCCTGGCGCCGGGCGAGAGCAAAGCCAAGCCGGCGGCCTCGGCGACGGCCAAAGCCAAGTCTGCGGCGGCGAAGGCCAAACCCGCTCCGACTACGACCACGAAGCCGAAGCTGGCACCTACCGCGACGTCGAAGACCGCCAGCAAGGTCGGGGCGGCGGCGAAGACCTCGCCGACGAAGCCAGCCACCACGGCGACGAGGGCCCCGACGGCGGCGAAGGCAGCGCCCAGGACGACCGGCGCGTCAGCAGCCCGGGTTGGCGCCGCCGCTGCGAAAGCGACTCCAACTACGCCGCGGACGGCCGCGGCTACGGCCAAGACCACGCCCAGAACGGGAGCGACGGCCGCCGCGACCGCTGCCAGGAAGTCGCCGGCATCGCCGACCAAGCCGGACGTCAAGCCAGCCCGGCCCGGTGGGCTGAGCAGCCGGCCGGCGGGCGCGGCCACCGCCCGGCCCGCGCCAGCCTCCTCCCGCTCCACGACTGCCGCAGCCACCGCGCGACCGGGAACCGCCACCGCCCGGTCGACGGCTGCTGCCCCGCGGCCGACAGCCGCCGGCACACGGGCGACTACCACCGCCCGGTCGGCAACCACCGCCGCGCGGCCAGCCACAGCCACCGCGCGTGCAACGACCGCCACAACTAAGCCGGCGGCCAGGCCCGCCACGGCTTCGACGGCCTCCTCGCGCGCCGCCTCGTCCCGCCCGTCAGCGGCGGCGGCGACCGCTGCGAAACCGGCCGCCGCCCGCACCACCACCGCCGCCGCCCGCCCGGGAGCGGCCGGCACGCGGGCCCCGGCGACGAACGGCAGCGCTCCGCGCCGGCCTGCCGTCTCCAAGGTGGCGAAGGAGTCGGCCAATACTAAGATATCGGCCTCTGCGGCGGCCCGCACCGCCGCCAAGACGACTAAAGCTGCCGGTGAGTGCGTGTGTGACTCTGCGGGGAGGGGCTGGGTCGATGTCTGGCGCGCATGTGTGGAATTATGCCCGCAGCTGTGGACGTCGTTGTTTGCGACAGGGTTTGCATGCTTTCGCTCTCAGAAGCCGTTTGGGATTGCGGCTACGCGTTTCAGACAGGTACTGGCAGGCATTTCAGACACTGTTCATCTATGACTTACCTCGGTTCCGCTCGGTTGACCGCTGTTTCTCCACAGCGGGTCCATTGAAGAAAGTTGGGCCGTCTACTGGTCCGAAGACCGCCACAGGCCGCGTCTCCATGGGCACGGGCCGCACCAAGACGGGCCCGATTTCAACCAAGACTGCCAGCAAAGCCCCTGCCGAAAAGGAAGGGGCGACCCCGACGGTTGCGCCGCCTGAGCCGTGCGGCGAGACGGAAAAGCTCGAGTGCGAGGAGCGTCAGCCTGAGGTCGCTGACAAGGTGACGCCCGAGCCGAACGGCGCCCCGGCGCAGAACGGCGCGCAGGAGAACGGCGCCCACCACGAAATGCACGCGAACGAGCATCAGCCGGCGGAGGTGGAGTTAATCTGAGAGCGTGTGGAGCGACCTACCGTCGCGCTGTCGCCTGCGCGGGCGTGAGGAGGCGCCGGACCGGGGCCGCAGTGCCGGCGTCCGTAACGGCCGCGGGCACCGGCACACGCTTGTGATACGCGCCTGCATCGAACGGCCGGGCCATCGGCGGCGGCGGCGCGGCGCGGCGCGGCGCGGCCGGGCGGGAGACGCTATGTCCTCTGGCGACGGGCCCGGCGCCGGAGGCCGCGCCGCGCTGGGGGAACCGCCGTCGCTGGGTAGGAGCGGGTGGGAGCGCAGCTTGGGCGGCGCCGCTGGGGCGTTGTTGTAGCCGTTCTTGGTGGCCCGTGTTGTGCAGAGTATTTTAGCCCGGCGGTGCGGCCGGCGCCCGTGGCGGGGGTCACCGCCCGGCCGGCCCGCCGCCGCGGGCCGGGCTGCGGGCACGCTGGGGCCTGCTTGGGGCGCGGCGCGCGAGGGAATCACTGATCAGCTGCCGCCGCGTGTTGGTCCGTCCCACTGCGTGGTGTTTCTAAGTCTGTCGGCCTGTAAGCGCATCTATCATCCCTGTCTTTGGCCTTCTCCGTCCGCTTGTACCCACTTCTCTTTCCATCTGTCCACTGTGGGCTGACCACCTCCTGTCCACTCCACTTTACTCCGTCCACCTGCCCGGTCCACTCGCTCCTTCCGTCCGCGGCCACGAGGCGCGTGTTTTGCTTTGAGTGTGCAAAGCACACGAGGCGCGTGCTTTGCCTCTCCGTTGGCTTGCCGATGGTGACGCGGACGGTGTGCGCTCTGCTGCCCTCCCTCGGCACTGCTCGCCTGTCTTCCGCCTGTCCAATGTTCACCGTCCGCACAGAAGGCTGCTCGCGTTGCGCTGTATTTGTCTGCCCGATCATGTTATGTGTTTTACTACTATTATTACCGCAAAGCACAATAAATTCCTAGTTTTCTTGCTGTGTGGTTATGGCAAGCGGAAGCTCTGGAGAGCTTGGGCGGTCCTTGCGTCGGCCGAGGTGCCCTGGGGAGCGGTGGCCAGTGGCGTGGCGCGAAGCCTCGTGGACAGGCGGACACTGATCGCGCAGAGGTGTGCCCAAGCGGTCCAGATGCTGCTGCTTCACATGGGCATTGCACATTTCCTTGAGACCCCAGGGTTTTCTGATGGCGAGGCGTCTCTTGGGGCTTCCTTCGAACACCAGGGCCCCTCGGTGTGTTTGCACTTCCCTGGAGGCGAAATTCCTGGTGCTCCACCGGCCGTATGCCCGTTATTAGGATTCATGTCGGGGAAGGAACATCTGCTAGACGCATCAGCGCATTGAGGGAATATACACCCACAACTGAAGCCGGTGGGTTTTGGAGCGCCCGCAGCATTTGCCGAGCATGAAATGCCGGTGTTCACGTGCTTCTTATGACTGCCCCCGGGTCGTGTTTTCGGGATTGAGTTGTATGTTGATGCGCACCTCACCACTCCGCCCTTCCGGACCCCACAAACTGGGTGCTATGCCAATGGTTGATCGCCCAGTGCGCTGTGCCGACGATGGAGCATGAATTGTACCGGTGATCACGGCCAGGGGGCCGAATTGTACCGGTGATCACGGCCAGGGGGCCAAATTGTACCGGTGATCACCGCCAGCGGGCCGCATTGTATCGGTGATCACAACCAGGGGGCCAAATTGTATCGGTGATCACAACCAGGGGGCCGAATTGTATCGGTGATCACAGCCAGGGGGCCGCATTCCGTCTGGCCAGGTTTTGGACGCAGTCCTTGTCTACCACCGAGACTCTGTTTAGCAACAAATTACAAATAAGTGCATATGTGGTGTCCTAATTTAATGATTGAATGATGAGCGCAATTGGCAGCTGTTGCTGAATATGCCTCACCGACATCGGACATCTCTTAATGAGTAGGGTCGTCAAGCAAGCTGCAGTACGCGCACTATATGCCTTGGGTGTACACAAAGTGATTATCCATGAGAAAACTACCTTCCTCTTTGAATCCCACTTTGGTAAACGCATAACGTTCCTGCTGAAAAACAAAATCTGGCGGCCGGGTGCATAGGCAAATGTATTTAGTATTCTGACTCACTGGCAAGTATCACACGCGGGTAATATTTCAACAGAACTCAAAGCCAGGCTGCGGGCGCAGACATCGCACTGTATGCGGTTGAGCAGTGAACCTAACTCGAGTTTCAGTTACTGGGAGCTGGCACTCTCCAACAGAGCTTTTGCCTGCAATCAGAATGTGGGCTGCTTGTAACACCACATCACCACGACAAACACGATGGAGTTGTCAAGGGAAGCCCCGGCTTTTTGAACTCATGCTGGTGGACTGATCGAGAGCAGAAATAATCAAACTGCCTATTGGCGCATGCCAAAGCTACATTTTTACATTGGCGGCCAGCGACGAACTTTTCCTCGCAGCACAGTCCCTAATATTGATGTTTTGGTCAGAATGATATGAGCACAGACGACTGCCATCTTCTATTTGCGTATCGCCTGCGATTGAGACCGCTTCACAGGCAGTAGCAAGCATAAGTTTAAAAATAGCTGTTCTTGAAACTGGACCGCATTCTTTCGGTTCATCTGCAGGTCGTTTACAAGCTAACTCCTAAGGGTGCGCTGGAGCCGACCTCCCACACAAGACATCGTGCAATGTCCATTTGTTCATCTGTCGAAATATTGAGAGCTGTGTGATCGAAAGCGATTGCCTACTAAGATTGAAAGGTGGTGAGATTATCATCAAAATTGAGAAACTACTGGCAGTCGCCAATTACTACTTCGCAACAAATTTTTGATATGAATACGGGAAACTTTTCAAGGCTAAAGGCCATAAGTGCGCATGGAACACTGAAAGTAACCACAGCTGCTAAGGATTTAAGGTGAACGAACGCTAAAACTATTCAGCGTCACACTTCCGCGAAGTCAGATAAGAATAGTTAGTGGCGATAAACTTGTATCCAGTGGTTAAAGGCAGGCAATTCCGGGACACAGCCGCCGATAACGGTCCGTGCGAGACTTGAACTAGTAGTCCAACTCCTCCTCTCCCCCGGCGTCGCTCTCCTCCACCTCCTCGTAGTCCTTCTCCAGGGCGGCCAGGTCTTCGCGCGCCTCGGCGAACTCGCCCTCCTCCATGCCCTCGCCGACGTACCAGTGCACGAAGGCGCGCTTGGCGAACATCAGGTCGAACTTGTGGTTGAGCCGCGCCCAGGCCATGCGGATGGCGGTGGTGTTGGCCAACATGCAGACGGCGCGGGTCACCTTGGCCAGGTCGCCGCCGGGCACCACCGTCGGCGGCTGGTAGTTAACACCGACCTGCCGGCGGAAGCGTAATGTTCGGGGCGAAGCTGAGCACAACACACAGCCCTAATGCGCGTTCTGGAGTCGCTCGCCGTGTGGAAGCATGTACGGGCACCTATATGCGACTCACGAACTTTGGACACGCTGTGGGAAAGCGTCTGGAAACTAGGCAATATTGTGGCGCCAATTCTTAAACTGTGTGTCGTTTGTCGCACACATTTAAATGTTTTCACATGACATGATAGGCCACGTGCTCACCTTGAACCCCGTGGGACACCAGTCGACGAACTCGATGGTCCTCTTCGCCTTCATGGCCGAGATGGCGCTGTTGACGTCCTTTGGCACGACGTCGCCGCGGTACAGCAGGCAGCAGGCCATGTATTTGCCACTCCGCGGGTCGCACTTGACCATCTGGTTGGCCGGCTCGAAGCAGGCCTGCGTGATTTCCGAGACGGTCATCGTCTCGTGCTGCGCCTTCTCTGCCGAGATGACCGGCGCGTACGTGACCAGGGGGAAGTGGATGCGCGGGTACGGCACCAGGTTCGTCTGGAACTCGGTCAGGTCGACGTTCAGGGCGCCGTCGAAGCGGAGCGAGGCGGTGATGGAGGAGACGATCTGGCCGATCAGCCGGTTCAGGTTGGTGTAGGTCGGTCGATCAATGTCCAGGTTGTTCTTGCAAAGCTCATAAATGGCCTGGTTGTCCACCATGAACTCGACGTCCGTGTGCTCCAGTGTGGTGTGGGTGAACAGGATGGCGTTGTAAGGCTCCACCACGGCTGTAGCCACCTGGAGCAACCGGATCGCGCAACGTTAGCGTTCCTCGCTAACCGCAATATGCTGGTTAATCGTATCCATATTCCTAATAATTGCGGCTAGTTCTGATTGGGTAAATGTCATATGTATAGTCACAAATAAGGCTTACGTTGGTGTGCAGTAGCGCAGGCAGGGGGGCACAGGAACACGCCCCCCCCCCCCCCCGCTACGTTTAAGGGCTCGAAAAGCCAGTCAGAGGTCTCATTCAGGGCCCGACGGCCCGCAAGGCCGGACACTTAAATGCCAGCCAGGGGGCCTTGCGCGCGATCAGGGGCCCACTGAGTCAATAAAGGCCTATGTTTCGGTCAGGCGCCACCAGTAACGCACAGTCGGCTACTTGGCTGCATGGGTCTAAGGGCCCATTTCCCAAGCAGGGACAAAGCCGAAGCTACCAATTTACATTCCCCGGGGCCCCACAGCGCCTAACAGGGTCCTAAGTTGTCAAGGGGCCCCGATTCAGCCAGAGGTAGTGTTCGAGGAGGCCCGAGGAGCCTAGAGGGCCCAACCGGTCCGACGATCTAGGGCCCAATTCGAGGGGTTAAGAACATAAATGGCTGGTCGGAGTCTTATCCAGGAGCCCAGACCTGCGAACGCGGACCCTGAAATAACGGCCAGAAAGACCTTTGCGCCAATCAGGGACCCCTGAGTCGACATGGACCAATGTATCGGTCAGGTACCATCGTACCACATAGTCGGCTCCGTGTCGGTATGGGCCTGAGGACCCACTTCCCAATAAGCCATCAAGCCGGGCCAGTGATTATGCTCTTAGGGGCTCCGAGCCAAGGGAAGTATTTGATGAGGCCTGAAGCTAGTTCCGGTGGGCCTGGGCGACCCACCAGAGCCGACTATTAAAGGCCCGGCTGGAGCCATCAGGGCCTGAAGGACTGGCTGTAGGCCACATAAAGAATCGCGGCCCGTAGGGTCGTGACCTGAAATATCAGTCAGAGGTCCTCTTGTACTGTTTTAGGAGCCCCTGAGACAATGCGGGTGTCTAAGTCGGTTAGGGACCACGAACATCGAACAGTCGGCGCCATGCCCGCCTGAGCCCTTGAGACCCATCTCCCAAACAGAAACGAGGCCGGGGCCCGCGATTTACAATGTTCGGGTCCCTGACAAAATGAGGGCCCCTGTGTCGGTTAGAGGTCATCGTGCCGAACAGGGATCGTTTGGCGGCAAAGGGGCCCCGGGTCAGAGCGGTGTTCGAGGGGGCCCGAGAAGGGTTGGAAGGCTTTCTCGAGATCAAAGATGAAGAGCCCGATGGAATGGCTGGAGGGTCCGAAGGACTGGCTGTAGGTTACATTAAGGACCTCTACCCATAGGGCTGTGATCGCAAATGGCAGTAAGGTGATCTCTAGCACTGATAGGGACCCCTGAGACAGAGCATTCCTCTATTTCGGCCAGAGATCACGGACAACGAACAATCAGCTCCGTGTTGGTATGAGCTCTAAGGGCCCATTTTCCAAGCAGGGACAATACCAGGTCCGCGATTTACATCGGCCAGGCTCCTGTATCGTTCAGGGTCCCACAGGAGCTTCGAATGCCAACACGGAGCTTCGAATCGGTCAGGGGAAAATTGGTTCAACAGGGACGGGGTCGGGATCCCAAATGGCTGATGGTCTCTTGCGTTGGTCGAAGCCCTGTGACAATGGCAGGAAACAAGAACTGATGATTAGTGCTCACACTGAGGTAATGGAAGAGTCCTGTGCCAGTCAGGGACCCCAGTACCAAACGGCGGGCCCTCCAACCCTATTCCAGCATCGGTCCATTAAGCCCAACTGGAGTCTGTGTGCCAGTTACTTGACCACCTGCGGTGAGCAGGGATGTCATTGCCTTAATACGGCTCATGCGCCGATCCACGGTCAACTGGGCGGGTCAGAGGGCCTCCCGCGTCAGGGAGCAGACCAATTTAATGTCATGTATCAGGGCCTTCGGATCTGCCAGAGGATGTTGCCCCGTGTCGGCAGAATTACGGCCAGAAAACACACCGCGGCGGGACAGAACAGAACCCTTCAGTTCTTGACCGGGGAACAATAATGTGCCCCGTAGTGTTATACGCGGGGGGGCCCTTTTAACGAAAGTAAGGGTCTGTGCTGAATGCTGAATTAGTGCTGAATGGGGTGTGTCGAAATGAATTAAAAACGTACAAGGGCACCCCATGTTTCCCTGAGCACATTCATTCTTTTGCAGAATCGACTGGTAAATCAAAAACCATCAAAATGTTAGATCCTGCGCGCCGGGTGCCGATAGTGTAGTGGTTCACACGCCTGCGTTAACCACTGCTTTATCTGGGAAACCACAGGTACGTGGTTCGGTTCTCCGCGGTGCTCGCCCTTTCCGCTATGGTGGGAGGCTGGCCGCGCCATATAGCCCAGCAGTTGACTGAGTCATAAAGCCACAATGACACGGCAGTAATCTTGAGGAACAGGGATAGCGGTGGCTTGGTTCGCAGTTTTCGTAAAACCGAGAGGCGTTGGCCACTGCAAGTAACGCCAGGAGGCGGGCGCCGAGTGCGCAACGATAACCGTGGTAAAATAATGTTTTTGTATGCCTTTCAGAATTAATTCAGCAACACGATAAATACAAATGGCGCCTTTTCTTCTCCAGTTTCACAACCAGATTCAAGGACCACTTCGCGATGCTGTAAAGACCAATAAGTTACTGTCATTAATCTAAAAACTGCACGGGTGAAATGTACGTTTGAAACATCTCCAACGGTACGATTTGGTGTCCAAAAGCGTTCAAAGGTACTTCTTTCAGATGCGTCATTATTTTCGTCCACCTGTTGGCCGCGGCCTAGCACAAGCCGAGGCCGACGCTGCACGACCTATGGAGGCTGCAACGGCTGGCGGCGAGTTTTTATTTCTAGAATATGCGAGCTCGCATGCTCAAATCTACGCTATCTAATAATTTGTACTACTCATCAGTTCTGACCGAATTCTGACCGAATGTTGAAGATATCCAGACAAAATGGCCTGGTAATGTTAATGTAAATTGTTGACCGATTTTCATCTTTAACCTACATTCGCAGAGTTCTTGCCATTTCTGTACAACCCAGATAAAATCTCTGACAAAGTTTCTGAGTTCTATCGGCTTGAAAAGAGTCTACTGGACTATAACACAATGACAAACGTCGGTGATTTATTTCATGCACTCATTTAACGCGTGAATTTGTCAATCGATTTACTATGAACGTAAGACAGAATTTATGTCGCGGTAGCGTCTGGGCCATATTTAAGTTATGTAATTTTAGTTCTTAATACATATGAATATTAATATGAATGTGAGGTATATATATATATATATATATATATATATATATATATAAGATACAAATACAAATGCGTAGTATATATATATATATATATATATATATATATATATATATATATATATATATATATATATATATATATGTGTGTGTGTGTGTGTGTGTGTGTGTGTGTGTGTGTGTGTAACATGTCCTAAATAGCAAGTAGGTCATATCCGGCCATTTTTGGGGGCCTTTTGCTATCAAGGGCCCTTTGTCAACGTTGTGCCCAAGTGCCAAGGCTCTGGCTGTGCCCCTGGTGGTGTGTTATGTTAAAATACACCAATGCGTTGAAAGCCGTATAAACTGGAACTGCCACTGCGACCGGCTTGGGCAATGATTGCCCTCACAAATCTGCAGTATACAGATTCTGTTTGAAGACCGCATTAATGCTAGAATTGTGAAATGGCCGCATCAGGGCTCAAACTGATGAGGACCTGCACAGTCACCAACCCATATTAACGATCTAACGACAACGACTGAACGTATTGTCTCCTCTGAGATTTGACCTCGCCTGACGGGCCCTCACCTCGGGCGCCGGATAAACGGAGAAGTTGAGCTTGGACTTCTTGCCGTAGTCGATGGAGAGCCGCTCCATCAGCAGCGAGCTGAACCCGGAGCCGGTGCCACCGCCGAACGAGTGGAACACCAGGAAGCCCTGCAGGCCGCTGCACTGGTCGGACAGCTTACGCACCGCCTCCAGCGTGATGTCAATCAGCTCCTTCCCTGCGGCGAGCGGACGACAGCGTTTCAGGTCAGACAGTGGGAGGGGGGGGGGGGGCGGCTAACTGTTGGGGTCACCTGGGGTTGGAGGGGTCACTGTTGGCACGCTCCCTGCGGCAGAAGGTTCAGGGCCCCAGGTGTGACGTGCTTTGACAATTTTCTGGTCGTCTGGGCCGGGTGACAAAGAGGACAGGCTGGCCATGACGGCGGTTTTAAAATCTGCGAGTGGGGAGCCGTGGCGGGATCCGACATTTACTCGCCGAGAAGATGGCTGCAGGCGTGAAAATCTTGCGTTCGCCTGTTAGTGTCAGACTGTCGACTTAACATAACGATATTGCGACATTCAAGTAATCCGAACACCGTTTCAGCAGGGGAGCAGTCGGGCGCGGTCATCGTCCAGTGAGGTGTGGCGCTAAGTGCGGGGCCCTGGGCTGTTACCGATGGTATAGTGTCCTCGTGCGTAGTTGTTCGCGGCATCCTCCTTGCCCGTCTGAAGTTGCGACGGATGGAACAGCTGGCGGTATGTTCCAGTGCGCACCTCGTCTGAAAGTGACGTAAGATGATGACCGAAAACGCTATATTACGCTCAGGTCTGGCATGTCATGCATTTACATACCAGTAAGGTGATGACCGGAAACGCTATATCACTCTCAGGTCTGGCATGTCAGGCACTTACATACCAGAAATACGTCTTGCGCGCCGGCTGACGAGCGAGGAGATAGTGTATGTGAGAACGGTTAGTTGTTCTCAGGTAAATTATGTTTGCCAAAGACTAGGTTCCAAGTGCCAGGCACGTTTATCAACCGATAGAAATGAATTTGATCAATCCATTGGAAAGTCTACCTTTCATAATTTACTAGGTGACTGTACACTAATGTAGCACTCGCACGAGCTGTCGAAAATCGTGTTCCCTGAAATAATGCCAGGCACCTGGGAGGGCCGTGCAGTTTTAATCTGCCACGTCGACCAGTTATCAATAGTTCACAAGTTTCGGAACTATGAGCAGAGCATCCAGACAAAATGTATTTTTTGGGTGATCATTTGTCACAACTAGGACCAAATATCGCTGTAGTTTTCATGGCGCAGCCTCTCTCGGTTTAAGCAATAACAGGTCATATTTGGGAGCGGTTTCAGAAAAGTGACCTTGGATACTTTTCCGTCGATAATTTAAACACCTACGGGCCGAATGATTTTAGAGCGTTGTAGCCGCCTGCAAAGTGCAGTAGGCTTCACGCCTTCATCTGTTCTAGCTGCTGAGACCTGAACTCAGCCCTCAAACACGGAGGGATCCGCTGTGTACGTCAAAAGCACGCGAACGCACACTGTGCGTGCACGCACACGCACGCTCACACGCTCACACACACACACACACACACACACACACACACACACACACACACACACACACACACACACACACACACACACACACACACACACACACACACACACACACACACACACACACACACACACACACACACACACACACACACACACCACACACACCACGCACACACCACACACACACACACACACACACACACACACACACACACACACACACACACACACACATCACTCCGCACTTTTGTCAACACTTCTGTTTGTCTTATCTTCCGTCCTTTTGAAATATTGTTGTTGCCCCATCCCTAGGTGTTTTTGGGTTAGTAGAGGACAAATACGCACAAGCTGTTACTGCACACGACAGATGTTTCATTTTTTTCGGCACAGTCGAGTGACAGTCTTGACCGTGCGCTTGCTGTCAGGGTGTTTACCGCGGCGCTCATGTATGCGGTGGACCTGTCCCGATTTCCCGGGTCCGGTGGCCGAAGGGCTGAATGCCTGGGTACTCTGCCGCGGACATCGCAAACATTCACTTTTTCCAACCGGGCAGGTAACATGGATAATCCTGGAATTTGGTGCGCTGCGGGCATATCTGCCCCGCATCGGAAGGTGTGATATCGCTATCGGTTATTGCGGAAAAACATACGGAGGTGATCGGTCATGAAGCGACTGATAGACCGGTTCCTGGTAACAAACCAGTCAAGAGCAATCTCAGGCTACGGGCCTCCTCTCAGTGACGAGCTGGTCGCGAATGTGCGTGATGTTTGTTGCACCACATGTGAAGGGCAGGAAGCATGTCTCACAGGCAGTAGTAGCGAAATCCTTTAACATCTCCATCAGTGCTGCGTGACGATGCTTTACAAACGATTGGCGTGATGTCACTATCGCTTTCACGCTGGCGCGCCCTCGACTACCAAAGCACATGGCTGACATGTTAAGCTTCTGCGAGTAAGCTTCTGCTGGTGCATCGGCCGAACCTCAGGCAGTTCAAGAACCAGCGTTGTGGGTTTTCGAACAGTCTGATGGTTTGAGGAGATCGTGATTTGGAGTGCTAAGAAAATCATGTTAAATAAAAAGTCCAGATGATCAAAATGATCAATTTTGGACGCCATAAGATCCTGTTAGGGCACCAGCTACAGCTCGACAACATCGCTTTCAGTACGACGGGCCAACTGTGCGTACGACGCTCACCACCCTCTCATGACCGGACAGCAGATTCGTCCTCTGAGGCCGTGCAGGCACCGGCGAGCCCAGTCGACGGCGACAGAGCAGCCAAGGGGAACCGTGGACGAGCACGCCGCGGCGGTAGACCGGAGCAAAGCTGATCGCGCCGTCCCCTGCCCCCGCCCCCGCCCCCGTCCCCGCTGCGGCGCAGACGTGCGTGCTGGCGTACGGCACTGCTGTGGAAACAGTGTGAGCGCCGGCCGAGATTGACTTTGGTTTTCTGTTAAGAAATCGAAAATGATATTGCAAAGTACTTCTCCTACCGCTTTCAAAATAGACAGTTCCAGTGAACATTATTGCACGGCCGTGGAGTCCAGATCAACCGCCACCCAGACCTGGACTGCTGCTCTGAGCTCTAGGTCAGCTACCACCCAGGCCTGACCTACGACCATGGGCTCCAGGTCATCCAGCACCCAAGTCTGACCTACGACCGTCGCCTCCAGGTCAGCCAGTACCCAGACCTGACCTAAGATCATGGGCTCCGGGTTAGCCCCCACCCAGGCCTGACCTACGACCGTCGGCTCCAGGTCGACGAAGATGGCTCGCGGCACGTGCTTGCCGGTGCCCGTCTCCGCGAAGAAGGTGTTAAAGCTGTCGTCAGCCTTGTCGGGCGTGGTGTCGGAGGGCATCTGGCCGTCAGGCGTGATGCCGTGCTCGAGACAGTAGAGCTCCCAGCAGGCGTTGCCCATCTGCACGCCCGCCTGGCCGATGTGAATGCTGATCACCTCACGCTGTCGGAGAGAGTGGGGCCAGTCAGGGCGCGGCCCGACCACACCACCGCCGCGTGTTGTTTCCCGTCGAGCAGCTGCCTCAGGTAAGGACCGTCACACCGAAGGTCTGCATCAAATGGACACTATCATCCGGTGTGTTTCGTTTTGGGTGTCGCTGCTTAGCGTTTTTGGATTCCCTGCGTCTGTACCCTATTGCGCAGGCATCGCAAGAGAGTTTTCGGAAAACAAAAAGGTGTGTTTGATAACTAAAAGGGTGTTTCTCCGATGTGTCCACGCAAAACACATTCGAGGGACCCGGCCCACAGAGCCGGGGCCTAGAAAGTCGGCTAGGGGACCTCTTGCACCGATCTAGGATAATAAGAGCCCTATGTCGGCCAAAGGTCACCAATGCCGACCAGTCGGCCCCGTGTCGGTCTTGGGTCGGCCCTGTGTCGGCCATGTGTCGGCCCAGTGTCGGCTCTGTGTCGGCCCTGTGTCGGTCTTGGGTCGGCCCTGTGTCGGCCGTGTGTCGGCTCTGTGTCGGTCCTGGGTCGGTCTTGAGTTCATTTTTCCAACAGGGACAGGGCGGGACACGCGAATCTCAGTCCTATGATTTATTGTGTTGATCAGACCCCCGAGACAACGGACTCCTGTGTCGGTCAAGGGGCACGTAGTACCTAACGGGGAAACCTGTTTCGGCCAGGGGCCCCGAGTCGGCGAAGACCCATTCGCCGAACAGAAACACGGACGGGACCTCGAATGTAAAATGGTTTCTCACGTTGATCAGAGCCATCCGACATTGGGAAAATGTATTGTGCTATCTGATACGAAAGCGTTCACAGTGAGACCATGAAAAAACCTACGGCAGTCAGGGGATACAATACCGAGCCCAGGTCCTGCGCCCCGTTATGACGAAAGGCTCGATGAGCCGAACTGGGTCCCGGTTCCATGATTGACCCTCGTGCCGGCAAGGGGCGCCTTTGTGTCCGTGGTGGATGACGTGCCCCTCTGAGGCTCTCCGATCGACCAGGGAGCCGACCGGTGGCAATCCGTGGGTACAGCCCATACATCTGTCGGCGTGACTGGGTCAAAGAACAACGAAAACTGAGACCTATCTGGTAAAATGGCCAAATCAGTGAGTGAGTCTCCTTAAAAGGAGCTTTCATTTCAAGTTTTCACTTCATTTTCATCATCACATCAAGATCTTCATCAAGGTCTTTGTCCCACCTCCCCTACCAAGATTCTGGCCGCGCTCCCGTGGACGCGTTACATGCCAGTGCATCTGCAAAGCTCCTGTAACTAACCCCGCGATTTTCTTACGTTCATTTGCACCATGAAAACATCGGTAGAGTAGATCTGACCGATTCACCGTTATCACTTTGGTGAATAGACGGACATATCACTGGACGTGCAAACACCGTACGCATGCGTGCACTCCGCTGTTGTTGCACTATTTCAGTGGTCCGATCTCAGCACTTGAGCTCACCATAGCTGTGGGCTGCTACGTCACTCCGGTCAGCTGACGTGGTCAGGTCAGAAGCAAACTCGCGTTGGGCCGATAAGGTGGTCCACCCGAGCACTCAACCGCTTCTGTGCGCTCGGAACCTGTCATTCATAGTCTAGTCATCCTCTACAGTCTCTGACACACGCTCCGGACCCGAGGTGTAGTCACATGCAATGACGAGGACCGGTGAATGGTATGGAAGTCAATGCCAGAGGACGTAGAGGCGGGCCAAATGTGTTGTGGCATGCCGTTGCCAAGGGGTTTGCTCAGTGATGGATAATCAATTCTTGCCATGTGGCGTTTGTCTTGATTTACCATGCAGATGATCGTGGACCTGTGCGGTCCAGTCACACCAAACAGCCAGGGGAATGCTGACAGCGTTGCTTCCCACGCTCCCCGGCGCCATAGTGACCAGTAGGTACACAATTTACCTGGGGCATGAGGTTCGGGGAGACCGATATGTCCCGATGTTAGGCAGTGATCGATCGCAAGGCAGCCAATTCCACCAACTGTGGCGGCAGGCTGATGGATGGCCTCGTCGATCCCGGCCCACTGCAAAGGCCCTCCTGAAGGTCACAGATAATCATTCTCCGTTACTCTGCGCTAACAAACTCGCCGTTAATTTATATTTTTCCCGGGAATGGCATGATTCTCATTTCCACTTGGGTGCTGAAGAGCGCTGCGGTTATTCATTGCTACCATGAAAAGCCTGCACCTTATCCAATGTGCTGAGTGTAGCCTCGCTGTAGCACTGAAGGCCCATTTAGTAAGGACGTCATATGGGAAAGTCGGGCGCAGATAAACTGTGCAGTTGACGTGCCCAATTACTATAGTGACGTGCGGCCTCTTGGCTTAGGAGCTAACCTCCAGGCTAGATTTCTTGTCTTCAATTCCCGCCTCAGAAAATCTTGACCTGCTGAACTTCAACCGGTCTGCGGCAAAATTAATGACCTTGCTGTTATGCGTGCCGATAAGCCACCTGATTATCTTTGGAGTCCACTGACCGATTATGGGCGAGCAGGATTACAATCATGCCATCACATTAACTTGAGTGCTTGCAACATCTATGTTATCTTATGATATAACGTTTAAAGGCTAGGACTACCTATGATTATAATCGATGTACTACAATACTTCCAAGACGGCGTTACCAAAAATCTAAATAAATCAAGTGGCCAACGATTTTACGATCAATTAAACACTTCCTGCTATGACTTATTACTCACGGCAAGGGCAGGATAGCAGTGAATGCCTCGCCATGACCCATAACACTGGCAATCAAAAACTTCCACATTAGATGACTGGAAGGTAGGAATAAGCAGGTGAGCAGCCAAGGTTTTGTGGAGTGAGTGTGAGGCGGATTCCAGTACTGTTGCCGTGCTTATGTCGCGAACAAAAGCACATCCGTAGAACAAAACGCCCATGAAAGACCCTCGAATACAGAAGCGTTGTGCCTCTGCCAGTAAAAAACCAAAGCAAATGAATGGTAGACTTGAAGGAAATATTTTAGTCTAGCGGTACAGTATATATTAAGGCGCATCACTACTCACGCCATCTATCGACAGGGAATAAAACGAGAGCTTAAGCCTCCACCCCCTTTCTTTTGCGTTTCCCAAACCGCCTGTACTTTACCAACTACATCAAATCTATTCCGATTCTTCCTTTATCCCCGCCTCATCGTTCACCGAAATCCAGAGTCTTTCCTTGCATTTTGTGGCTGTTGCTGTCCAGATGTAAAAGACACTTCCAAAAGAAAGGAGACATGTAAGGCTGCCCCGAATATTCTTAAGTAGCCGGAATTGCCCGCCTATGTGCAGACTCGTGTCCGCTAGTGCCTCCCGCTGCGAGAAGTTGGGTAGCACCACAGTTACAAACGCGTCTGAAAGCAGGCATAAGGGGATCGATTCCCTGCGGCGCCCGCTCTTCCTGACTCGGTGAGAGGCCTGTAATGCTGTGCCGGCGACCTCAGCTGCTGGGGTACGTTGCAGCCCCAGCGGCAGCAATATATCGCCATGCCGTCGGCTAGTGATTCGTTTATCAGTCCGCAATATCTCGCTTTGCTCCGCGCTTCTATCCTGCTGCGCAGTGATGATTCATTTCATTTAGAAAACTATCAGTTTGGTCACCCTGCAAACGACGCAAATGCCTTTTCTGCTATCTTGTTATCGTTTTATTACGGCAAAGTACGTCGCCCACAAATCTTAAACATCACATATAGTTCAATCTTCGCCTTTTGGCTTTTAGCGTTACCCCCAATCCACCATATCCATTGAAGCCCCTCCAAGACAGCTTCGATTTATCAGATTGTAATGTCAATCAAAATGAGACCACCTAATTTGAGTGCTGTAAGGTTTATTTAAGAAGAGTCTACAGTTTGCCCTTTTTCGTCGAATTTAAAAACAGTCTTGTGATTCGGGGTTCTTGCTACTGGTCCGTTAGCAGATGAAAAATGATCTTAAGTTTATCGAGTCCTTAGCACGCTGCTGCCGGGCGGAAATCACTATGAATCTTGACGAAACTTGTCTGCAGTTTCAACAGATGCAACTCTTAATTTCAAAATATCTATATTTTAAAAAAAATTGCGTGTGTTGACCATGTATCACAGAATATCGTAATACGCAGAAGCATGGAACAGTATTATGTACCTAAAACACCATAGACCACACTGAGGGAAGAACGCCGCAGATATACGACAAAACTGCGTCGCTATGGGATGAAACATACTAAAATCCTGCTCTTGATTTCACTGCGTAACGAGTCGCAGCATAGTATCAGGTGCTTTCCTGACTCATTTTGTAACATTCCTTTCTGTTCAGAGTTTCCTCCATGTGCCGTAGGCTTTTAGTGTTTTCTGTTCGTCACGGCACACGGTATCGTTCACATCAGCACAAACACCCGCATTGCACCTGTGCCCTGCGCTGCACGCACACCACGCACACAGAATCAGAGTGCGCCGCTGTTTAAGGGTCCCGCACGATGCGCTCACGCGTGCCATCGCCTCTTCCACACGAAACGCTACTTGCAGTGCCGTCCTGTCGCAGGGGTCGTAATTGGTTTCACCATGTGGACACTGGAATGTCACCATTTTTCACCAGGGTTTGTCAGCAAATTCGAGTAACCTCAATAATTAAAGTGCTCATACAGGTTTTTGAAATGAAGCATCGTGCCATCGGAGCAATTTAGAGCATGTTGGAAGGGGTATAGAAGTCAATGAGGATGAGGTTGTTCTAGACATCCCACGCGTAAAGAAATTGGTTTAGAGATAAGGGACTGACACCGATCGTGGCACAACTGGTCTTCCGTAAATGGGTGTTGCCGTGTTTTCTTTGCGCGTTGCGGCTTGTACTTGACTCGCGCATAGCACACAAGTACCTCAAGGAAAATTTAATCCTATGCCATCGCAATCAGTACATCAAGTTGGCTCTGCACGTCTCCTATTAGTATATAAATCAGGCAAATTCAGATACACGAAATATATAATGGTATACGACATACGAAATGCAATGCACAGTTTCTGAAT